GTAAACACAATAGCCACTCCACATTCTCAACACTCCATGTGCCTGTGTTTTTAGTTGTTTGGGAAAGTATCCAATGCCATGAGAATTATTTAAAATTCAAGAAGTAAACTGAGCAGAGAAATGACCAAGGCAGCTGGTAAAGAAGAGAGAATATGCAGTGTGAGTGCTAACTGCAGCTTGTACTGAGGGTGCCCAGCTGATGCCAGATGCCAGTGGACAGCAGGACAGAGCTGGGCATGTCTTCCCTTCTCTTATCAGGAGTTCACAAGAATCCTGGAGGGCAATGGCAAATATTTGTCCAGCCGTCTTAGCCTCTCACAGTCCCAATGGGAGGCCCCTGGAGAAGGGAACAGACTGAGTTGCCCAGAGTTCTTGGGTTCCTGCCAGACTCAGCCTCTAGCTATGTGGGAGTGGGGGCCTCAGTGACCTATCTGTGAAGGGCAGGGCAATTTTGGTGACCTCCACCCTACTCTGAGATTCCACGGGCCTGGTATGTCACACCTTCTCCACTGTCACCTCTGTCAGCCATCCAAGAAGAGACAGAACCTTCCTCTAGTCCCAGTACCCCTGGAGTGCTAAGTTCAGAGTTCTGCACACATGACTTGGTGGACAATTGCGGGTCACGTTATGGAGGAGCATCTAAATACTAGCACATGGTAGCCAGAGCGGCATCCAAGCTCTGCCACCTACCAGCTCCAGTTGTAAAACAGATACAAAAACAGTCCCTCATAGATGTGTAAGTCTGAATGAACCAGTAAACACTAAAGTGTTGAACACTATAGCTGGACTTCCGTTCTTTATTAATCACCCTCCTGAGACTTAGAAACCAATGATAAATTTATCTCCAACTGCCAATGTTCAGGTGGTTGCTTTTCAGTCTGAGTTATGAACCATTAGTGGGCTGTGGAAGCACTTTAGCAAGTTTAATATCATACTTGTTTAGTAACTATTATAATCATACAACGAAAGGCAAGTATATTGAAGAAAAAAAGGAAAGATATAATAGGAAATACTAGTGCAGCATAAGCAGCAGGGTTAACATGTAAAACATGAGTTTCTGCTGTGTGTGTGTGTGTGTGTGTGTGTGTACGGGTCCTCATGGGGACAACACATAGGTTCTCACTCTTAAACCATAGCATATAGAACAGGAAAAGGTGTCTCTCCCTCCTGTCAAACATGTGGAATGTGCCTTTACTATCCCTCAGCTCTTATTCCAGGGACAAAACCTCACCAGACATAGGTGTCCCTAAAGATGAACTAACCATAGATTTATACCATATATAAGAAAATCTCCTGTAATGGTGCACGCCTTTAGTCCCAGAACTCAGGAGGCAGAGGCAGGCAAATCTCTCTGTGAGTTCAAGGCCAGCCTGGTCTACATAGTGAGTTCCAGACCAGCTGGAGCTACAGGGAGACCCTGTCTCAAAAAGACTAAAAAAAGAAAAAATAAATAATCTCCTTAAACCCTGAGGTAGAGATTTCTTTTTCTTTAAAATGCTGTCCTCTGGGGCTGAAGAGATGGCTCAGAGGTTAAGAGCACTGACTTTGAGTTCAATTTCCACATGGTGGCTACGAACCATCCTTAACTCCAGTTCCAGGGGAATCCAAAGCCCTCTTCTGACCTCTGCAGCATTGCATGACCGGGTGCACTCACATACATGCAGGCAATACACTCACATAAAATAAATTTTTTTTAGAAATGCTTTCCTCAAGCTGGGGAGATGGCTCAGTGGGTAAAAGCACTTGCTGCACAAGCATGAGGACCTGAGTTTGACTTTCCAGAACACAACATGAAAGTCAGATGCATAGCATGAACATCTGTAAACTGTAAACCCAGTGTCCCTACAGGGAGATGGAAGGGAGGCAGAGATAGAATCCCTGAAAGCCCCAGGACTGACTAGCCTTGTATACACAACAAGAGACTGTCTCAAGACAAGGTAGAAGGTGAGGACCAACACTCAAAGTTGTCCTCTGACCTCACATGCACCTGCATTCACACACACATGTGCACATGCACACACATACACACACACATATTTGAGCCTTGTGACTAGTGGAAGATTTCCAGATGCTGGATTACTCTCTCAACAGATAAGAGGGCCTGTCCCTTCATCTGATTTGAGGCAGACTGTCTTTGTGTCTGTCAGTGCTGTCACCCACACCCCTCTTTCCACCTTCTCTCCATTTCTTGAGAAAATGTTTCCATTAAAGCTTTTGCATGGAGTCATTCTCTCTGCAGCCCAGTTTTTAATTCTATTGTTACTGAAACAAGAGTTCCCTCATACCTGTTTTGTGCCAAGTCCTGTATCTTGCTAAGTCAGGTCAGCAGGAACCCCCAACTCTCAGTATCTCATACCCTCCACTATCCCTAAATGATGTCTCATCACCTTGGCTTGTCTTCAGCAAGATTCCTCTTGGGTCTGTTTAGCCAGAATCCTCCTAGCCCCTGGTATTTACTCTTACTAGTTTCCCATCCCCTGAACCCACACTGCACCTTGGATATCTCTACTTGCCCATACTCAAGTATTCAGCTCTGAGCCCAGTCCTTCTCCCCAGTGCAGGTCTGCCTTGGGGTGGTCCCTGTACCTATCCTAGTGACCCTGAAGAGTCTTCCTTATTATGTGTGACAGGTAATTTCGACTGTCTACTTGGTTGGATGTGTTTGTGAGGATATTCCCAGGTACAACTAGGTGAGGAGAGCTCTGACCTAAGCAGTGAGTCTATCCATTGATGGGTTCAGAATTTGAATAGCAAATCAGGAAGTAGTAGAACTGTGGAAGGGGGCTAGTTCACAGAAGTTATTCCCTGGAAGCATGCCTTGAAAGGTAAACCTTGACCCCAACCTGTCCTACAGCTCTTCTCTGTATCCTGGCTGCCTCAAGGCAAACAGCCTTTACCACCTGCTCCCACCACAGTGATGCTCTATCCTCATTCAAGCCTAAAGCCCAGAGTCCAGCTGAGCATGAAACCTCTAAAACCAGGAACGAAAATACATCTTTCTTCCTTCAAACCACTTCTCTGGGGTATTTGTCACAGCAATAAGAAGTCAAACACACTGCTCAAACAAGTGTCATGGAATATTTTTTTCTTTGACACCCATCACTCTACCCTTTACACTTTTTAGCACCCCAGGTCCTGTCCTCTCCCTACCATCTATCTGCCCTACTCCATCATTACCCCTTCTTCCTTCCCCTCCTCCTCTATGTTACAGACTTTGACCTTTTCCTCCCGGATCGCTGTGTGCCCAGTCCTCCATCCCAGCTGTAGACTACCACAGAGGTATTTGGGGTGCCCCATAAAGAGAAGATAGGGGATTATCTCCAGGTGCTGGTGTTCACTTGAGCTGTCGGAAAGGAGGAAAGGTGAGGGGAGGCTTGGCATTTAGCGCCAGAGTGTGGAGAGGGAAGTAAAGGGAGCAGGCTGTGGGTAAAGCGACAGAGTGGCAGGAAAGGTAAGGCCTGAGGTCAATTCAGAAGGAAAGACATTCCTGAGGGGGAGAGAGGGATTAAGCTGTCAAGAGGATGAAGGGGAAAGAAAGATGTGGAACATATACTTATACTGAGTAGCAAAAGAGAAGTAACGAGGGTCAGGTAAAGGGAGGACAGAAGAGGAAATGATGTGTCCAGGTGGCAGGGGCTTGACAGCTGACCTCACTCTGCAGGGGGAGGTTTCCTTATGGCCCATCTTCTGGGGACCTGCCTCTAAAGATGATCCTCCTGCTCTCCCCGCACCCTCCTACTCCTCCAGCCCTAGGAGGCAGCCTAAAGTAAATAGCCAGGATGGCCCAAAATTAAAGTCCACTTAGCAATGGCTATTAATCGCTCAGAAGCTTTGTTCTTCCATCTTCCCAAGGTGTTCCAGGTGTTTGACAAAGCCTGATGTCAGGGCCCCAGCTTCGTATGGCCCCTTGAAAACCAACAGAGCCACCTCTACCAGCTTGCCAACCCTCTCCTCATGCCTAAATACCCAAACCAAAGGAAAGTGGTCTCTAACATCCCGAGCCATCCTTGCCAGTCAGTATCTCAGTGGAGGCCTGTGCTGGGTTAGCAAAGTGAGGGGCACTGAACAGCTCTAATTTCTTGGGTCCAGTTCTACCTTAGTTCTCCAAAGAGAGCAGATCTGGGAGTCATATCATCATGAGTTCTGTGAGGACTTGGACATGTTGCACAACCAAACAGCTTCCCCTTGGAAATTCTACACTTCATCTGGACTAGGAAGGGCTCTATTGGATGATAATCAGAAACTTTCACTGAAAAGCAGTGCTGTGATGGGTGTTTTGAGGGCTAGCTGGGTAAAGGGAATGAGCCAAGTGTGTCCAGTATAGAACAGCAACAAGCAACTGGACATGGCAATTAGAGATTTCTTTCTTTGTCTCAGATCAGCTCCTAATCCACTCCAGTGGGCAGAGTCCCTAGAAAGCTCAGATTTCCAAAATCCTAAATGCTGAAACCTAATGTCAAATTTCCATTCACCTATCACACAGGTCAAGCAAAATAGTGATTCTGGTTCAGGGTATTCTGACTGAGTCTTCTGCCTCATCCAAGTGGTCTCAAATGGAGGTGGGCATCAGAGTCTCCTTACTAAAACAGATTTCAGGACTAGAGTATAGCTCAGAGATAGAACACTTGCCTAACATCCATCTGTGAAACTCTAGGTTTAATCCCCAGCATTAAAAACAAAAATAAAACCCAAATATAAAAGCTGGGGGTGTAGTAATATATGCCTGTAATCCTAATACTTGGGAAGCTGAAGCAGGAGAATCTCCTGGAGTCCAAGGCCAGCCTGGGCTATATAGTGAGATCCTGTTTCAAACAAACAAACAAACAACAAACAAACAAAACAAAACCCCCCAAAACAAACAACAACAAAAACTCATCAATCAAAAAGCACAGATTGCTGGGCCCACGAATTTCTGGTTCCATGGGTCTGGAGTGGAACCTGAGAAGTTCCTTTCTCATAAATTCCAGATGATGCTCATGCAGCAGACCCAGGAAACTCACTTTGAGAACTGCTCCTCTGCACTCCAGGGAACCGCCACAACCTTCATGCATTCTCTGCATGGTGCCAAAGCAGCTTCTTATAAGGCATTACCAAGATTCCAGGCCTCTAATTTGACAATTAGAGTGATGATGATGATAATGATGGTTGTGGCCTTCAGTCTTCACAAAGGCTCCATGAGGCAGGCAGCATAAATAGCCCCTGATTTCAAATGAAAATAGTATTAGGTGATGGAGCCAAAGCCAGGTAGATAACACCAGAGATCACCACTCCCGTCCTGATTCACAGTCCTCTTCTCACCCCTCCACCTGTTCAGTCCATTTGTGCTGCTATAGTAAATGACTAGGATACTAGGTATTACTAGGATACCTAGGCCATCATCTCTCCTATCTCTGGGATCAAAAAGTCCAAGACCAAATCACTGGCAGACCCGTGTCTAGAGGTGAGCTGGTCTTCCCAGGTGGCACTTGTTGCCACGTCCTCCAGAGGGTGGAGACACTGTGTCCCCACATGGCACAGGGGGGTGGGGCTGGGGGGAGGAACAGAAAGCTTTCATGGCACACTAGCAGTGGATCCTGTATCACCTATTCACCTCCTAAAGATCCTGTCTTTCCTCCTCCTCTTCCTCTTCTTCCTCCTCCCTCTCCTCCTCTTCATCTTCTCCTGCTTTAACAAAGGGTCCTACTGTGTATCCCAGGCTAGCCTTAGACATGTAGCAGTCCTCCTGTCTCAGCCTCCCAAGTGCTAGGATTACAGATGTATACCACATGCCCAACTCCTTCTTATTTTTTGGTTCTAGTTTTGGTCCCACTTCTTAATACTATTGCGCTGGGGCAGGCTGTGGCTGTAATATTAAATGCTCTCATAGGCTTGGGTTTTCAGTACTTAGTCCCAGCTTGTCACACTATTTTGGAAGGTGTGGAAACTTGGGAGGTGGGGCCTAGCTGGAGGAAGTAGGTCACTGAGGAGCATGTTTTTGAAGAGTGTACCAGGTCCAGAGTCCCCTTTCCTTTCTTTGCTTCTTGTCCACTGTGAATTGAACATCCTCCACCGTATACTTCCACCACTGTGATGATCTATCTCACCCAGAAACATGGAGCCAAGTGGCCATGGACTAGACTCTCTGAAACTGTGAGCCAAAATAATTCCTCTTTAAAATTGTTTATGTCAGGCATACTATCACAGAGACAATAAAAGTAACTAACATAAAAAAAGGTATTATTAAGTTTCCCAGTGAGTTCTGGAGGGAAGGCCGTTATTTGACGGAAAATCATGGCACATGCTGATCTTTCAGATCACACTTTCTCTGGGTGTGTCTCAGTGAGTCAAAGCTCATTTGAGCTAGCCAGTCTTCACTCTCACATTCAGATATAACTGCAAGTCCTGCTGCAAAAAGGAGCAAACTGAGCCAAGTAAGGGGTAGGGAGTGATGGAGGAAGAGCTGGCTATGGTAAGGCAGAACAGAGGACTTAGAGTTAACTTTTTCTCACCTACTACAGAGCTCATGGTTGGCAACACACAGCAAGAGCCAGGTTCACCAGAGAAATGTTTTTAATACAAGTATACTAGACATGATGCTGTAATCCCAGCACTCATCAAACATAGGCATGAAGGAAGAAAATGAGTTCAAAGTCAGTGTAGGCTACATAGTAAGCCCCTCTCTCCAAAAAGAAAAAGGTTTATGCGATATAAAAGCCTTCAGAAGTGAAAACCCAAAGACTCACGATTTTTATATTTTTTATATTAAGTTTAATGTAGAATTATGATTGGATTAAAAAAAGGAATGATTGCCAGGCATGGTGGCACACACCTGTAATCCCAGCACTTTAGAGGCTGAGGCAGGAGGATCATGATTTCAAAGTTGTCCTCAGTCCTCTGCTACATAGTTTGAGGCCAGCCTGGGCTCCGTGAGAACTAGTCTAAAAACATTAGTGGTAAACTGGAAGGAATTTAGTGAATTTATTTGTTGAGGTTCTTCCTGGTATCTTCATATCTTCGTTCCTCCCCTGCAGGTATAAGGCAAGACAGTTGTCATTTCCTATTACCTGCTACACCAAGGGGAAGTACGTCAGAGAATTCTTTTGTGGCCAGATCTCACAAGACAGTGGGTGAGTCAGAAAAGCTCCCAAATGCCGTATCTAGATACAATATATTGTACACTCTAAGTCAGGAAAAGTCTTCTTTTACATTTTAAAATTTATTTTTGTTTTATACGTATGACTTGTGTTTTATATGTATGACTTTTGTTTTATATGTATGACTTTTCCATGTGTCGTGCAATGCCCACAAAGGCCAGAAGAGGGTTGGGTCTGGAACTGGATTCCCTGAAACTAGAGTTACAGATGGTTGGTAGCTACCATGTGGGTGCTGGGAACTCAACCTAGGTCCTCTACAAGAACAGACAGTGCTTCTAACCACTGAGCCACCTCTTCAGTCCCAGGAAGTCTTTTCTGGAAAAATAACATTTTATCAAGACCAAATAGAATGAGGATAGAAGGAAATGAGGAGGTGGGAGCAGCAAGTACAAAGGCCCTGGGGTAGAAACAAGTATAATGCATTCTAGCAACAACCAGAAGACCAATTCGATTGAGAAGAGTCAGCAGACAAGAGATTGTAGAAGATGGGGTTGGAAAATCAAGTAGGTATCCTTAAAGACCATGCCAGTTGGGAAACCACATGAGGCTCTAAGCAGGGGAATGATAGGCTCTGATTAGAACTGGGTCAGCTTCCCTCTTGTTGCACAGTGACAAACAGACTTCTGGGAGACTGAAGTGGATGAAATGGAGCTGGTGTCTAAGTGACAAGATGCCAGAGAGTCACCATCATGAGGTGCCACTTGTCTGAGCCCTGGAGGGCAGGAGAGAAAAGTGATTAAACGACAAGAAAGAAGAGAGAGAAAAGAGGTAAAGGCCAGATGCAAAACTTAAAATTATATGATAAATTGGGGTCTGGAAGTTCTGCCTCCCTAGTGGAGTCCAGGAAGATGTAGGAAGAGAAATTGCTTTCTAAGAACACCCAGCCATCCAGCTGTCTTGGCCCAATTTGAGGGGCAGTGGGAGGTGATCTTAAGAGGTGTTCAGGAGGATAGTTCCCACCAGGACTTCTCTCCTATTATGCCATCTAAATGAAAATGCTTACAGTTTCTCATTAGGGGTCATGGAAAAATGGAAAATGGAAAAATTGAATGTAGTGATGGGTGCCCAGATGTATAAATTTTCCAAAAGTCATTGAACTACCCACTGCCTATGGGTGTACATCTTAAATCTTACATCTAATAATACTGTCTTAAAAAGAAAAGGCATTTGGCTATAAGGAACTCAGCCTTTGAACCTTGAGCCTTTAAATGTTCAAGCAGTCAGAAAAGAGGCTACATCACTTAAAAAATACATTTAGTAGCATCAGCTTAATAAAATAGCAAGTAATCATGACAGTCCACGCTTTTATTTGAGGAATCTATGGGTGATAGCCATGCCAGTGTTCAAAATACTGGAAATGCATATTGTTGACGAACACCTGAAAACAGTAAACTATTCAGAGAATAAATGGTTTTTCTAAAGGCTATAAAACTATATATGTCAGTTTTGACATATGTATTTGTGAGTTTATGTGTGTGTGCACACGCATGTGTGCGTGTGAAGAGAGAGGACAAGGAGAGGTCCCAGCATTAACACCAGGTATTGGAATTGTTTTATTTCTCTTTTTAAATTCCCAGCATTCTAATTCTCAAAATTTTCTACAATGAATGTGAATAATAAAGATTCTGCTGTCAAGCATGGATATAATGCAAAACCTGTACAAAATAACATTAAGAAGGAAAACAATGATAAATTGTGCTTACACATTGTCCACAACTTCAGCAGTGGGCAGACACCAAGCAAGGGAAAAGGAACCAAGCTAAAGTGGAAACATGGACTTGTGGCCATTTCCAAGCTTTTCTTTGCTTCTCTCTACTTCTCATGTTTCTACTGTTAACATGTATTATTAGCCTCATGAAAAGGAGGCATGAAATCTCATGAATCATTGGCACCACAGTTCTTTTTTTGTGGGATATTTCATTCATTTCCCTCTGTGAAGATTTAATTTAGTTCAAAAGTTTGTGTCTAGGTAAATGGCTTAGTAGTCAAAGTGCTTGCCACACAGTGTGAATGTCAGAGTTCAGATCCCTAGAACTCATGTAAGTGCTAGATGATCAGGTAGTCTACCTGTAATTCCAGCCTTAGAAGGTACAGACTGATCCCCAGATTAAGCTGACTAGTGAGACTAGCCATATCATCATTTCTGGGTTTGACTGAGAGACCACACCTCCGTGAATAAGGTGGAAGAGTAATGGAGGATGATTCCTAATGACCACTTCAGGTCTTCACATATACTTGCACACATGTGGCATGTGTACGCACATACATATGTACCCTCACACACACACATACATGCACACCACACACGCATGAAAATGGAAAAGAAAAAGGTTCCATAACTCTTCATGGAACACTGCTGTGCTGAACACTGCTCTGGGGTCCACAGGAAACAGGAAAATGAGTGCAGTACAACTTGCCTCTTCCCTCAAGTGGCTCTCTATCCAGTTGTGGAGACAGATATGGTCAGAAGGACCATATCACATGGCTCAGAGCATGGATGCAAAGATAGAAGCGGGAGGTACAGGGGAGCTCAGTTAGTCAGCAATGGTGCTTTTTAATTTTATTTATTTTTATTTCATATGTATGAGTGCTTTGCCTGTGTATATGTAAGTGCACCTTGTGCATACAATGCCCATGGAGGCCAGAAGAGGGCATCAGATCCCCTGGAACTGGAGTTACAAACAGTTGTTAGCTGCTGTGTGGGTGCTAGGAACCAATCCTGGGTCCTCTGCAAGAACAGACAGTGCTCTTTACCACTGAGCCATCTCTCCAACCTTAAGAAATGATGCTTTTTAAAGAAAACCATGTTGTTGCAAACCTTTTTGTTAGAAGTAATCTCTTTGGCCTCACTAACTTGCTAAGTGCAGTTCTCCAATAGCCTGAGCTGTGTCATAAGTAGGACTTTTCTATAAGGAGCTAATGGCTACTGAGCATCTACCATGAGCCACTCTATACTGGGCATTGTGTTTTCTGTTCCTCTAATCCTTGAGCCACCTGGAGGATGCTTTTGGTTGTGATCTAGAGAGAAGAGAAGCATAGAATAGTAACTCAATGACCGGGCTCCTC